GCAAATGGCCGTGAACGCGACGCTTCATCGGAAGGTTCAGTGAATATGCACACACATGTCAATATCCCAAGGCGGAGGGGTAGAACACCGTTGCGTATTCCCCGACCACCACGTAATCCGGCTCCATCATCATGCAAAGGGTCTTCTAGTGATCCACCAGTCTGAACAGTTGTGGTTTTCCTTGAATGTCGAACTATTTTATGTTAGGGACTTTTGTGGCCATTGAGCCCTACTACTAATGGCGTACTTTTGTTGTAAGAATGAATATTTGTATTGATGTTGTTATGGTTCTTATTAAATCCTTGGTTTAACTTCATTTGTTTCATATATGTGTTCATGAAAGTAAAATCCACGGAGAAGTACGTACTTATTTGTTCCAATGTACATTACTTGAAACCGGATTATATTTATTTTTCTAAACTTTGATTACCACTATGACATACATAGTCTGGATCTATTTATTCCTTTCCCATGAAATTAATTTAACAAAGCACACAACATGTATAATAATAAGTAGCTTCATTATTGACATAAACATAAACTTTTAGACACGAATGCCTTGATCTAATCCCCCATTACACGGCACTGCATCTTACTTCACACCAAAACACACCAAAGGTTTGGGAGATTTACTTAACACAAGGATTTAAAACTAAATAGCCTAATTATAATAAGCACACTAATTACATAATCCAAAATAGAAACCTACGCAGGATAGAAACAACAACATAAAGACGGGACCGATTGACCAAAAAAGAGTTGTAACACCATCTCTTATAATTGTTAGCTACATGGAGTCCACACACAAGTCGACATCCGAGCCTTGACTCATTACATCTTCATCGGCTTGTACATCATTTAGCGGATCCAACAGAAGTGGGTTTTCATAATTTGGGCCTGCAACATCCTGAAGATCTTCGAAGTCATCCTCCATGCCATCTTCGGACCACAAATCAGACATAGTATCATCTAGACAAAATGGGTAATCGTTGTTCTCACCGAGGTTAGCACGGACATCCACATCAGCAGCACCGCGCACGGTCCACAACTGCAGACAATGGTTGTACCATTTGAAACCATCTAACGAAAAAAGACCTCTAAATCTCTCTCCTGCATGTTGTCAACAAAGCCATGTTTTAGTTTGGAAGTTTATACCTGTGTGATTATAAGATGTCGTTAACCAAGAAATATAAATTACCTCTCCAACGACGTTCCAATATGCTTTGTTAACGCTAACCAAACCGCCGTCATCATGCACGCGAACTCCCGGTATTGCCATGTAGCGAAAGAATTCACGATACTGCAGCTGAAGACAATAGATCTTCTCCCGTACCTTCGTCCACGTAAACTCCTTTTGCATGAGGTCCGATAATTGATGGAAAAGTCCGACCCAGAGGGAATTCAGTACAGGCGCCCTGTCTACGTCCGGGGTTTCAACACACTTTTAGAAGAAGAGCCGATAGCAAACCTTCTCTTCCTCCCCAGTCCACCCCTCCAACCTGAAGTTGCGCTCAATGTGACGTAAGCTCGTCATCCGATCCATGAGATTGGTGCAAAAACCTGTTTATCAGAAGACAAACAAGAAAAAAATATTAATACATAAACTTTTATATTGATGATGCTTTTAATTGTTGGAGTTAATGACCTACAGAAAAGTGTTGTTGTGAATTCTGGGATGGTCTTGAAGTGGCATGCACAAGGTTGTATGTATATAGGCTGGTGAAACGGTGATGGTACTTACAACACCTATTATCATAATATTAATTTGGGTGGGTAACTATCGAGTCACAACAGTCATTAAATGAAAATCATGATTAACTTGTGGTTAGCTTTAGAGTGGACGTTTTCTTCCTCATTTAAAGCCATCAGTAAATGTGATCCGCCAAGCTCATACTTGTTATTTGAATTGTGTGCTATTTAAAGCCATCAGTAAATGTGATCTGCCAAGCTCATACTTGTTATTTGAATTGTGTGCTACTCACAAAAGCTGATAATGGGGTTGTTGGTTTTTTGGAGAAACTGACTTTATTAGGTCATACTGGCTCATACTGGTCCGTAAGTCTTATAGTCCACAAACCGGTATTTGCTCGAAAACCAGATCGGTTTGGTACTTAGCTCGCAATTTGTACGTAATTTTAATTTTTAAAATACATTCTATGAGAGTAATGCTATAATGTTAAGTATGTAAATATGGGTGGACATAACACGCACATTAGTTAATATTATGTTTTTTTTTTTCATGTTTTGTTTCATATGTAACGCTTACCTTCAGTGTTGGTAGTTATTACACAATACAGATCCTATTTATGTGGTCCATCATGGGAAATATTGAGAGTCTAATTGACTATTTCAGTTTCAATGTACCGTTATTTAACTTCGTACAATTACTCAGACAGCTCGGTGTGATTGGTGGGGAAGTACTTATATATAGACCAACAAAAATCAAATGTATCCATCTAAAAACTAAAGTTTTTATTACGATAAAATATTTTATTTCTTTTTTAGAGATATAACGTATAAGAATGTATATAATTATTAAGTAAACTGTAATTTGTTAGAATTAATTATTAAAATTAATTTTATATTTAAATATAATACCTGCAAATTGCACAAGTAACATTTCTAATGATACATTAAATAATAATAAAATATTTGTAATAAATGGTTTCAATCTTTAAGTACTTTATTTTATAAATTTTAAATGAATAAGATGTGTTTCGTAAATAAACACCCGTGTACATGAATGTTGTACTGGTGTAAAGTAAATCGTTAAAAAAATAAAGATCATACTCACTATATCAACTGATGGGTATCATATGCGGAATATGTAATTACATACTTATTAGCATTAATGTAAATTGTAATTGTTATGCCCAACAAGTATATATGGACTTGCACAAAAATTATGGGGCTCATAATATTGTGGCATGCAAAATCTCGCATAGCCAAATTGACGGCATTAGTCAACGCCACTGCTGATGGTGGGGTCCGTGTTTGTATGGGCGAATTCACAATGGCTCACGTGCCATGTTCTATTTCAATTTTTTCCTTTCTATAAATTAGTCGCCAGCCCTTGGTTACGATTCATTCAAAATTAGTCATCCAGCCCTCTATACACACTTCTATGTACATGTAGAGAAAGGCTTCATCCCAGCGACCCACGAAGGAAGGCTTATGGAAGCGACCGAAGAGGGATTGTGGAAGACACTTCATCCGCAGATTTTAGAGGTACGTATTTCCAGATGGTAGCATTCTCGTTTCTTGCAAATGAACAAATAATAAGGGTTCACGGTTATTTTGCAATGGCAAAGTTTAGTGTTTTTCTTCTTTTAGTTCCATAGATCGTGGTTGTCTGATTGTGTTGATTTCCGGCATTATGGTTTTTGAATTACTCGAATATGCTATTGTGCGTATCAAAAGGGAACAAGGGAAACACGGTTCCAAGGTAAGGGCCCTGTAACAAATATTTGGGGATTAGAGATTGTATATTAAGTAATGATATTTGATTTTGGGATTGTATATTAAGTAATGTTAATACTTAACGCACTAGATAATAGGTATGGCAGGAGAGCAAAGTGAGACTCAACAAACGAAGCGAAGTGGTAGAACGAAGCGCAGTTCAGTCAAATTTGTTCGGATATGGAGATGAAAGCGGATTCTCTTCCTCTCATCGCCCTTCCTTGTCGGATCGACTAGATGGGTGGACCCCAGAGAAGGGTTGATAGGAGAAGTCCTCCCTGTCGTTTGGTTTGTGGGTGCCTTTACAGGGTATTCTTGTCTACATGCTCAAATTTATTTGTGTCCATATTTTTAACAAAATTAAGCTTCTGTCTATTCTGAAGGTGGAGTGTGTAAGTTGCCCTTCTATGTATATGTTATGTGAAACTTGAAACAACATTGTAGGGTGTGATTCATGAATAGTGTATTTTCATACCTGTCACATTCCGGCTGAAATCAGTAAAGCTGAACAGGAGACAGGACCGGGGCACATGTATTTATCTTCAAAACATGGCTTTCTGTTTGGGTTGTTGCTTGAATAGTAACATTGTAATTTAATAATTGCTTATCTTTTCTTTAAGATTTGAAGATGTCACAGAATTCAAGCAGTGCCAAATTTGGAGGACCAAGTCGACTAAAGTATCAAGACAAAATATGCGACCATTGTGGAATGAAACTTGCAATTAGGATAGTTGGCTCCAGAAGTCCGAATTATCATAAACTCTATTACCAATGTGAGAGAGATGGGTTTATGGGTTGGGAAAATCCAATAAATGAAGACGAAGTCTGCATACGACGAAAAGTTAACATGACCGACAAATTTGTAGTTAATCGTGAAAGCTACAAAGATGGGAAGATAAAAAATAAATTGGAAGTAATTTTCAATTTATTAATTGTCAAATTATTACTCGTAATTGTAGTACTTCATATTATTGTACTGAAATAAAAACAATGCGTGTATGTTGAAGTTGGACATGAGTGTTTGTTTTTGTCATGAGAAATGCATGCTTCATTTACAGGTAATGCCTACATATTTAAAAATGCAACAAATGGTAAGGGTTATTGTCATATGTTGATGTTCCTGAACTGTTGAACAGGTGTACTTTGGTATTTTGCATTGCAAAGGGAGACATACTGAAGAGGTAATAATGTTGGTTATGTTTCATATGAAATGGTTGTCCGTGACCATACAAACGGACGACATCCTATGTGTGACGTGAATGAAAGAATTGTTAAGTACGTACTCCTGGGAACCCGAACCTGTACACTGCTTTAAGGGAAAAGTCATCTCGAACACTTTATAAAAGTCACATTATCCGTTGCATAATATATAAGAATCCGCAACTTCTACAATACATAAGACTACGCAAGTTCCAGATCAAGGTTACACATTCGCATACATAACATAAAAATAATACGACAACAGTCCACAATTCAGAAATAGGAGATAAAAAGATACCCGACCACGTACAAAATAACAAAAACATGTTGATTTTCTTTGACTACATAGACCCACTCAATATTTGATGCACCATCGACCTCTTTGCATCATCGTCCAGGCTAAAAAAAAGTTCCATCTCGTCAACATTTTTGCTTAAGTACCACGCAACGCCTACCCTTTGATCCACTGTTAAGTTTGCAATGTTTTTCAGTGCGTCATATATGGCGACTCGCTGCTCTTTAGCTTCTACGTGGTTACCAACACGTGTAGAGAGTTCCGAGAGACGGTCGTTCGTCTCTTGGCAAACAGATGAAAGTAACCCCATTATTTTATCCTCCACCTCAACAGGACGTTTTCTTTTTCCATCACGCTTAGACTTACCGGAAGCACTACTCTCACCAGCTCTAGCCAAAAAAGAGTCAAAATTAGTCTGAGGGAAGTCACATTGTTCTGGGACTGCGTCTTCAGTGGGGATAGGGCTAGGTACTTGCACGTTAGTATAATGTAAGACATCATTCACCGCGTCTGTGAAACCGACTGCCCCCTCTCTTGTTTCCCGGTCCTTCCCAAAAATTTCTACCCAATCCGGATAATAGGGCCAAGATTTATAACGCACTGATTTGGCCTTTGGGTGAGCCTGAAAAAATAATTTTTCTGTTGAATAATGAAATTGCTCCTTTTAAATTAGTATTACTATTAATTTTATGCGTAATGACATGTGTAAATGTATTTAATACCGTGATGTAGCCTTGCCACACGTCCTCATCCCTCACAGTAATCATTTTCCCTGTATCATTCCAGCCGAACCCCAAAGTAGCAAGCATGTCCGAAAGTACACCATAATTTTTTTTTCCAAACTGTAATCTTTGATGATATGTGAGGTTCGACTTTTATATTAGTACCCGGGAATATCTGCCGCATATGCTGTTCCAATATGATGGTGTAACAGTTGCGAAATCCGTTGTCACATTTCCACCCGTGTGTGACAAGATCCCGCAAACCATTAAGCAATGCATTTTCCGCAGCCGCATTCCAAACTCGACGTTGTCCGTTGGGCTGGGAATTGCTTCCCCCACTGCCAGTGGATTCCATGCGTAACTGATGACAAAGATATAAACCAACAATGGTAAGGATAAAGGTTTCAACAACTAAAAAACAATATATTATACCATAGAAGTAGGAAAAAATTGAAAGAGGAATATGTATTTTTTTTTGTAAGACACAAAGAAAATTAAATAACCAGAATTAATAGTAATCACACATTTCAAACAATCTTTAACATAATTAGTTTTCCAACCAATAAATACCAAACATGAAGATATATGTTTTTTGGTACACAGATAAAAAAGAAAACAGTGTCTCCTTATGACCCTCAGTGTAAGATGCAGGGTTCAACTACGACCGTCCCATTCATTAAACATAGACATGGCCAAAGCTTCCCGCATATTTGTCCATTCGGTGCTTGACTCAACAACGTCAACATAGTCTAAAGGGTTATGTGCCTCAGGGTTTGTCTGATGATTCATCATATTGTCACCCTCATTTTCCAGTGGGTCCACATGCATGGTCATCCGGATAAAGTTTTGAAGAAGGCAACAGACAAGTATAATTTTATTCTGAGTGCGTATGTCGAAATAAGTTTTTCTCCTAAACAGCCCAACACATCTTCAATACTCCAAAAGCTCGCTCAATTACATTTCGTGATCTGGCATGTGTTAAGTTAAACAGCTCTCTATGGTCTCTAGGCAATATGTTACCCTCACCGAACTCATCTATATGATACCGCACACCTCTATACGGAGCCAAGAAACCAGGACCATTTGTGTATCCTGCATCACATAGGTAATAGTTCCCTGTATATGGGAAATATATTAGACAATCCCAAAAAAAAATGAAAAAATGAGAAAGCCTGAAATTACTGTTAAAGTAGACAAAATTGGATAATTAACAAATATTGTATACATATTTTTTCTGTAATTTTTTTACACTTACCTGTTGGTACACGAAGGCCACCTGGTCGATGAACGGCGTCTCGTAAAACCCTAGAGTCCGCTGCAGAACCTTCCCAACCGGACAGTACGTAAGAAAAAATCATTTCTTGCGTGCAAACACCAAGCACATTAACAGAAACAACCGTTTTTCTATTGCGATATTGTGCATGTAGACGTGCAGGAACACGAACAGGAACATAGCTTCCGTCCAAGGCTCCTAAGCACCCCTGTCATTATTCCACATGAAAAACCAGTTGTAACCATTAATACGTATGTCAGTAAATATTTTTGTTGGATTATTTTTCCTCACCTGAAACCATCTCCATCTCCAATCGGTGCATGACTCGGTCACTGCTGTGATTTGGGCAAGAAGGATGGGATGCAAACGCATGATAACACGTAGTACAGCATGAAAGAATTTACTTATCGTTTGACCGGATCGCTTGAAATCAAATTTCACAACACGATTTTTTTTATGGTGAGCTAGCACCCAAAAAAACATTGCTACTTGCTCAGTCAGGTGTATATTTCTTGTGTTCTTAGCCCACCAACATGTTCCAACAAGTAGCATAACCGGGCGAAGGTATTTCGATCCATGCGAAGTTGTTCAACGCATGTCCTGTCACTTAGTTCTATCAACAGCTTCATGTGTTCAATTTAAGAGGGAAGACAGTCTGACATACGATAGGATACATTTTTGGACAGACGTCTACGTCTACGATTTTGTCTAGGTTGAACAACCAACTAAATGTAAAGGTAGACAATGATAAAAAAAAAAAAAAAATTACGTAGGCTAATTATCTCCTCCACGAGAAAAGTACTACCGCCTCTTCGGAATCTATGTCCATGATTAAGCTGATGATCTAAACAACAATATGTATTTATTAGGGTAAACGATGAACGCAAATGCAAACATTTGGTATACACTGTCAGTGTAAGTGTAAATTCAAATGGATCTAACTATATCTCTAAAAAATAAGAAAATAAAAATCTTCAGTAGACTGAGGTTCAGTATGTATTATAAACGGTCTCAAAGAATTATACAGAAGTTGCTTGCAAATCAAATCATTTACCAAAATCGTATGGCATTTAATGACACGTACAGCGATTTGGGAACTCCATAGCAGATATTTGTTATTACCTGTGTCGATCGACGATTACTATCAAGGATTGTTTCTCCTTTGCCTGACAGATCACCGGACTAAACACGCTCCCAATATACCTGGATCCCAAAAAGTTGAGAAATTAGGGTTTTATGCAACAACCTATTATCGAAATCAGGGGAAAAGATTACTCCCACACCACAACATTGCCCGTGTTCTTGTTGTACAAAGTATTGTAAAGCACACTTACCGTGACGTCGAAGATGGAAGCGTGATTTTCGCATCAGTTGAAGACCTCGCCACAGATCTACTTTTGGAATGTGTTAGGGCAACAGAGACGATGCCACAGATCTACTTATCACTGACAGGCTGTAATTGTTCGGTCTTTGGAGGCTATTTTTGTCTGAAATGTCAAAAATCAGGGTAAAAAATGACATTCAATTTTATGTGTACTGTTAAGATGGAAAAAAACTGTTGTCCGATAGGGGATTATTAATACCCCATATGCAAGATTACTCCATTTTAATCTCGGGCCCTGCCTAGTCATACAGGCCTCAATCTTGGAAAGCAAACACGGGTTTACGCCAGGACTAGGAGCTTAATCCTATCCAATCTTACCTTTCAAACAAGGCCCTAGAAGATAGGCCACAGTCCACCGTCTAACAAACAAAAATTGTTATGAAGGCAACCCCTTATAAATACTAATCAACAAGCTCAATTTGGCTACATAACTCACATCTGCAACCATGTTCAACCAAAAAAAAGAGTTCTTTAAGTTCGTCGATGCGAGAAACCAGAGTTCTTTGTTTTTGCGGTACGTATGCTCGAACCAAAACTTCATGGACATCAGCAAATCCCGGCGGGAGGTACCTGGAGTGCGGGCAGAACGCTTGCAGATTTTGGAAGTGGTTTGACCCTCCGATGTGTGCAAGATCAAAGGAAATAATACATGGTTTGTTGCATAAAATAAATCTCCTAGAGGATGAAACCAACCGGCTACATAATGAAAGTGCAACTACTCTTGAAGCGAATGAGAAAAAAATGAAGAAGGTGAAGAAGCTAGCAAAAGACAATAGCCAACTCAAGAAGAAGAACAACATTTTAGTACTACTACTTATAATCTCTTGGTTGGCATTGTTGCTTAAAAAATGAGCAGATCATGTAATTTCTGATTTTTCTGAATGTAATTTATGGTTGGCATTGTAGTACTACTAATTCTAATTTCTGAATGTAATATAGAACAACATATTGTTCTATATTAACTAACTAGTGCATGGCCCGTGCGATGCACGGGAAAACAGTATTACGATTGTGTTATACATTAATATACAAATAAACTAATCAAGATTTACCCATTGTTTTTAAATTAAACCTTGTTGGACACAGTTCGACCGGATGGACCGAGAACTGGTGTATAATCAGTCTAGTTCACTTGAACAAAATATTTGCTATTGAATTCGTCAACACCAGTCGGTTGAACTGGTTGGGTCGATATGATTTTCTAAATAAATTTGGGTATATTTAAAATTA